TCTAGGGTCTTAAAAGCTTGTGTGTGGCCATCTAAGATACGCCACTAGTCTCACCCTCTCAGAAACAAGGGAGAATGAAGAAAACCAAAGACACAAGGGAAAGATTAGTTCAAAAGACTAATGGACCACAACTACCATAACCTCCACCAGACTGAGTCCAGCACAACTAGATGGTGTCCAGCTACCACCACTGACTGCTCTGACAGGGATCACAACAGAGGGTCCCGGACAGAGCTGGAGAAAAAAGTAGAACAAAATTAAAACTCACAAAAAAAGACCAGACTTACTGGCCTGACAGAGACTGAAGAAACCCTAAGAGTGTGGCCCCTGGACACCCTTTTAGCTAAGTAATGAAGTCACTCCTGAGGTTCACCCTTCAGCCAAAGATTACACAGGTGCATAAAACAAAATGAGACTAAAGGGGTACACCAGCCCAGGGACAAGGACTAGAAGGCAGGAGGGGACAGGAAAGCTGGTAATAGGGAACCCAAGGTTGAGAAGGGACAGTGTAGACATGTCATGGGGTTGTTAACCATTGTCATAAAACAATATGTGTACTAACTGTTTAAAGAGAAGCTAGCTTGCTCTGTAAACCTTCATCTGAAGTACAACAATAATAATAATAAAACAAGAAAAACAAAAACAAAAATAACTTTCTCTTAGAGGACATGCAGAAAAACGAGTAACAGTCGGATTATATACAAATATTAAATAGAGCAAAAAGTGGGACATGGTCCCAATTAAATAACACCCGGGAGATTATCAGTAAGAAAGTTAATAATTTTATATGCTGAAAGGCAAAAATGTACCATTTGTTTTGTTATATAATCAATTCAGTGATGTTTGAAAAATGTTAGTAATAACTACCCTTAGTGACTATTTCCAAATTATCTAAGGGCTAGGATTTGTAAGGAAGAGGTTTAAAAACAAATGCATCCCACCTGACTTGGCTGAGTGATGGTGTGGGCAAGAGGCCAGAGGGTACCTGGCTGATTGTATGATGTGGCCATGCATCTACTGTTGCTTTTCTGTGTGGGGCTTTATTTTCTGTTTGGTGGCGGCGTATCGATTAAGGGAAGGCCAAGTAATAGCACCTGCCAACATATCCTCTCTTCTTTCTCGAGACATTCTAGAATATCTTTAAAAACAATCTTCCTGTTCCTTTCTGCAGCTCTGATCAGAGCAATTTCCAAAAAGGGAGGGAAGGCTTAGTCCATATTCTACTGAGTGAAGGCTACATTCTGCCAGTTAAAAGAGAGGTGAGCTGACTAGATTTTTAAAACTGTCCGATTTAACAAAGAAAACAAAGCATTTTAGCAGAGAGACAACTAAATTTCAAATCTAAAAATTAAAAGAATATTCTTGTATAAACTCTATATGAATATAATCATACCAGATCCAAACCTATGATATATTAACTATAAGAAATACCCCAAATTAAGGAAAATCATTTAAGTCCTGATAGAATTATTCATATAATGAGTAAAAAATGAATAGCTGGACAGCTGAAAATGATTATTAAATAAAGTAACAGTTAAATATTTTCCATAAAACCAAACCCATTATAATTAGTCCTTATGAATTATGGATATTACATTTCTATACAACAATCATCATTGTATAGATCCCACTCACATTTAAGCAAATGGTAGAAAGTATACTTGTAGACTGAACAAATTATCAATCAAAAGCTTATCTCTACCTCTAAACAGTAACTGTACGTTAAAAAAAATCTTGACTTATATTGAAAAAATTTTATATAGAAGTAATTTTATGCAGTTCCTATAATTGATTTCTCATAGCAACTCATAGCGCCCTACAGGAATCAACTCAATGGCAACGGGTTTGGTTTTATAATTGATTTAATTTATATACATGTAGGTTAAACATATACATAATTATTAAAATAGATCAACAGGGATTAAACCAGAGGAAATGAAACACACTCTGAATGAACTTTATGTGTGGTATTTCTTAGAATGAGGACAAATCAAGAGTTAAATAAATCTTTTGATGGCTTGTCTGTTTCATGAAACCAAGTGATAAACTGGATGATAAAGAGAATCAGTTCAAGATTATCTGTAGTTACTAGCTGATTTATGACTAACTCAAATTCCTGAATGTGCAAAGGAGATTACTTCCTTAAAAACACACAGGAACATAAATATACAAGACTCCATCCCTTGTAGCTATAATGTCACTAACAAAAATATTTGAAATAAGATTGGCATTTAAATAATTTCACTTGCATCTGCTTGTATTAGTCCTTCGCTACTGCAATATTTAGTCTTAAAATGAATTTGAATAAGCTGCTCTATTAACAGAATAAAAGATAACGTGTATCCTCATTACTTGAAGTTTTAATTTTATCTTTGACATTTTCAGCCAATAAATTTATCTGATGGTAAAAAGCTTTAACAAGCCATGTCACCACCAAATAAAGGAACACTACGTAGTGGAATAAAGTTGGAACTCCCAGGTAATTACTACTTAGACTTCTTTATTACAAAAAATTGTGGTAGATCTTTGTGGTGATTTTCAATTAAATTTTATTTAATTTTTATTTTGAAATAATTATAGACTGACAAAAAGTTGCAAAGATACTACAGAGTAGCCCCTTGTACCCAATGGTTACATCTTACATATTATAGTATATATAAAATCTGAATTTTAACATTGTTGCACATATGTGGATTCATATACATAGCTTCATGTAACCACCACCTTGATCAAGATGTTCCATTATCACAAAGACCTCCTTCTTGCTGCCCCTTTATTGTCACATCCACCACCCTCCACCCACAATCTCTAGCCTCTGACAGTCACTGAACTGTTTTTTATTTCTATGTTTTTGTCCCACTACGCATCTGTCAGTTTGTAGTACTGCAGCGGTTTGCATCTTGCTGTGATACTGGAAGCTAAGCCACTAGTATTTCAAGTAACAGCAGGGTCACCATGGTGGGCAGGTTTCAGGGGAACTTCAAAACTAAGACAGACCAGGAAGAAGGACATGGCAGTCTACTTCTGAAAAAACTGGCCCGTGAAAACCTTATGAATAGCAGTGGAACATTATCTGATATAGTGCTAGAAAATGTTTTCATTGCAGATAAACACAATCCAGTGTGTTTTTGGCATTTGCATTGTCCTATGCCCTCTGAGTACAAATTTAGGAATCTAGAAAATAGTGTTTTATGCTACTACATATCTAGCCTATATTATAAAATTTATAGTTGTCTCTAGCTATTTCCTTAAGAGCTTTTCTTAGAAACAAAATATAGCCTAAATTATACTGTTCTCTTCAATTCTCTAAAACCTACTATTATTTTTAAGTATTCTCTGACAACATCTTATAAAAAAAGTGGCCAATTCAAAATTAATTTTGTTTTCCCAGAGACAGAAAGATAAAATCAACTCAAATCTAGTGTTTAAATCAGGGCTTCAAACCGGCTCAGTCATGGCTGATAAAACAAAAATGGAACAGACTTGAATTTTTAAAACTTGGGTGATCGGTACCATAACTGGAATGGGAAAAATTACGGATAGAAGCCTTGGAATGGGAGACTCGGAGGAGGCGTAGTGAGTCCTTTCAGGAGCCTGATGCATGAGACTGGATTATTGCCAGGGCTGAGGAGAGCGACACACACTCAGATTAGCCCAGTCAACTGCCGACTTTGAGGGCCATTTTGGACTATGCGCAAAATCCAACGGGCAAGAGATTTGGTTGTTATGCAATGCATATGCTGCCCTTGTTTTCTAAGAGGGAGATTATGTTTCCAGTAGGGCTTCGGCCCATAAGTTTTCCCATTCCGGTTATGGTTCTGATTCACTGAAATTTTAAAAATTTTTTAAAATTTGGTTCTGTTCTCGTGTTGTTTCCTCAGCCATGGTTGAACCAGGAAGAACCTGTTTGAAGCCTTGGTTAAATGAATACCTTGTGAGTGAAATGACTTACTTATATCCTGTGGAATTTAAATTACACAATGAAAAGGCAGAAGAAAACACGAACTTTTACATTTTGAAATGTCACTTATTCAAATCATACAGAGGAGGCCTACGTCTGCTCACTTTTGATACGTCAGCCTTTGTCTAGGACATAGGAAAACTCAATGGTGTTGTGAAGAGGTAGGAAGGGTGAGACAGGGAACAAGTCCAAAACTTCACTGTGGCAATGAGCCAACTAATAAGGAATGAGGGCAGCAAGACATATGGCAAATTAGCGGAAGCTTCTTTACCCCTCACTGTTGCTTCTAACACTATTGTTCGTTAGGATTAGGCACAATGCCACATGTTCTCCTTTATTATTCTACATCTACTCTGACTACTCCTTGATACATGGAAAAATAGTCAATAAATGTTAATGTAATTGATGATCTCAATTATCATCATTTTTGTAATTCTGTGCTTTTCGGAGTCAGTAAAAATATCCTTTTAAACTGCTATGAGAAGTCTGCCAAGGTTTTTTGAGAGAACTATGTCTCATCTACAATGTAGCTAAGCTATCCAAATTTAGAATTCATTATTTTTTTAAATTAATTGAATGTTTAACTAATTGTTCAGTAAATTGAGCTGACAGATGCAAGGGACATGAATATTTTATCTTACGAAGTCAGACTTATAATTCTCTATTGTATTGTGGTTTGAGAGAGACTTACGTATGAGGAGTGATAAAAAAAATAATAAGAAAAAAAGAAGCAGCCCCGATCGTTGTTAATAGTGTTCTTCAGAAACAAGAAGCCATTTTAATTGCAGTGCAAATTCCTCATCAGAGTAAGTTTCTATTTTATTACTGAGTATAAAGAAAAGTTTCACTTTATACAAACACCATTATTTAGTGACTTAAGTTTGTTTTGGAGAGTCATTTAAAGCTTGTAAATCTGCTACCAGAATTACCCAGTTTTACCCTATAAATATCTGTTCTATTAAAAAAAAAAAAAAAGACTTACATTTGCTGAAAGTTGAGATGTAAGGGTGGCAACTTTTTCTTGTGATGCCACTAGCTCTCTCCGCAGCTTATGGATTTGCTGAATATAATTTAAAAATAGTAACAAAAAAATCAATTAAATATGCTCACATATTTTTTTTAACTTAAAACTAATAATTCAATTCAAGAAAGCAAATATTGTATTTAGCTCTTTCTACCCTGACTGTGTCAGCACCAATTCCTGAAAATAAAGACATGTGAATACCAACTACACAGGAACAAGCAAATGTCACTTACAAGGAGAGGAGAAAGTACCTAAATTCTAAGCTGAGACTTAGATTTGCAAATTAAAGGATGTTGACTTTTTCTATTTGCCATCCCTGCCTGACTTAAGAGGCAGTTTACAATATTTATTCTTCTCTGTCTACAAATTTGCGGTTGAAAAAAATTAAGGTAGAAAAACTTCTCTTTCAAAAAATTAAACATATGCATAAGTACTATACATACATATAAATACATACATATATAAAATACATATAAAATAGTATGGAGAATCTTTTTGCTAAAACAGACTAAGAATATATATATACATACATATACTTTTTTTTTCCTGTGTACATGTTAATTTTCTCTACTTTGGTATCTTCTCAAAAGCTGTAGAATATTGCAGTCACTGAAAGTTGAGCCTAATCCAACACTTAATGAGACCTTATTTGAAAATAATTTTACTGGCTGAAGATTTAATGACTGCACTCAGAAAAGCCTTCTCAAATCTTTAACGTTTAATTCAGAGTAGAAATGCTTTACAGATTGGTCACAGTTTTAAAACGAGAAAAAAAAATCAGCAATATTTCACAACTATCCTGATAATCTTGGGAGTCTCTGGGTGGTGCAAACGGTTAATGTGCTCAGCTGCTAACTGAAAGGTTGGTGGTTTGAGTCCACCTAGAGGTTCCTTGAAAGAAACGCCTGGTGATCTACTTCTGAAAAATCAGCCATTGAAAATCCTAAGGAGCACAGTTCTACTCTGACACACATGGGATCGCCATGAGTCAGAATCTACTGGAAAGTAACTAGTTTTTAACATGATAAATATTCTAAAATGTTTTCCTGTTTAGTTAAGTTCAAGCTCCAATAAAACTAAACAAAAAAGGTGAGGATATATCTATCATTAAAAAAAATTATTTTAAGCACTTTAATCTGCATGTCCCCTTGCTGTGAAATCTAAATAGTGACTAATAATGGTATAAGATTTACAACCATCTGAGATTAAACGTTAAAGTTCTACAGGTGTATTTTTGATCTCCAGGGATTTTAGTTACCGTATGCCTAATGTTCTAGTTGAGGAGCCTTGGTGGCGCAGTGGTTAGTGATCAGCTGCTAACCGAAAGGTTGGCAGTTCAAATCTGCTAGTCACTTCATGGGAGAAAGATGTGGCAGTCTGCTTCCGGAAAGATTACAGGCTTGGAAACCCAATGGGCTACTTCTACTTTGTCCTATAGGGTTGCTATGAGTCAGAATCGACTCACCAGCAATGGGTTGTTTTGGTTTAATGCTCTACTCTGATGCTTTTTATTTCTTCAACAGGTCCTCTACTGTTGTAGCTAGAATTTTGGAAGGTGTTTCAGTTTGAAAGCATTTTTGACAGAGTTCATTAACTGTCTTTTTTTTTTTTTTTTTTCCTGCACACTGAAATCCACTATGTAGAAATACTAAAATTTTGGTCTAAATGATTTTTAAAAACAAGTTAGTAATAATCATTAGATTCTGTGGAAAAGAAATGGTGTTCAACATTAAGAGGCTATAAAAAAGAAGAGATCTCTAAGTTGAAAGCAGAAATTAGCTGATATGTATATAATTTCAGGAAATGTGATTCCATTTTCACTCCTAAACTTTTAAAAATGATACATTCTAGGCCAAAACAGTGTTTGGGTTACATTCATATGATGATGACAACAAGTAGTCCCAGAAAGCTGAATTTTTATTTTATTCTTAAACCAATGCAATTTCAATAAGCCTTTTTCCACTTAATAGTCTCTATTATATGATCCCATCCCCCTTAAAATATAATCCAGGAAAATTTACAGTAATGTAAATTGTTATCTAAAAACAGTGACCCGTTATGGGGCATGAATGATAACAGGAGAGATGGATAACTACAATAAGGCAAATAGATGTGGCATTTCTATACCCCAGAAGCTATATGTTGGAAGCTTTGCCATGCCCATGTGATATAAGTAAAAACAGTTTAGGTATTTAAAATTCATATGTACCCTTTGGGCTAGCAAATAAGATAAAGATCAAATTAGTATAATCAATATTTTTTCAGTATTTTTAAAAATAGCACAGATTTTAATTCAAAAAGCTAATGAAAAGGCTTCAAAGGAAAGAGTTTATCTGCAAAGGCTGGTGCCAGGACATTTATTTTCTCTGTGGTCTGGTGCTTCAGTGTAAACCAATCAAATAGTCATTACCTCATCATGAATAAAGTCCTAATTAAAGTCTTCCTGCTCTCCTTGGCCAGGACAACTCTTACACATAGGGAGACAAAAAGAATATTCTCCATACGCTGCAATTTGATTTGCCCATGATTGCAACAAAGTGTGTTTTTGTGAAACATGCAGGATTAGAACAATATACCACACTAGATTTATAAAATAGCCATTAAAGACAATGAGGTCTTAACACAGAATAGACGAGGTGGGATGCTGGTGTCTTATGTTTTGGGTGCCTGGAGTTTAAAATTCAACAATTCTGTTAATCCTATGCAGATGGTCTCACAAACAGGGGGGAAAAGAGACTGTAGTAAAATAGAAAGACCACACATTCATTCATTCATCAAAGATTTAATGAGTGCCTATTATTAAAGACATCTTATTAGGTGTTAAGACTTCATTCAAGAATCTGAGAAGTGAGTTTGTTCTTAAAACATTCTTTCACTCTTTCAGAAGAAAATACCCAAGACCATTTTTCAACTTGCTGGGTCAATTCTATCAGCTCTCCTGGAGATATGCTATTGTGTCACAGAGCCCCCTAGTGGTGACAACACTCATTTCACATAAATGTAAACTAAAATAGTTAAAAATATAAAAATGTTACAAGGATTGTACATGTAGAAATAGTTGAACTGGTGTATGTTCTGCTGTGCATATTTTCAACATCAACATAAAACAAAACAAGTTATTTTAAAAAATAAATTTAATTACTAAGAAAAAAGTGCTACAAGGCTTTTACCTCTGAATGAGCCTTTTCTTCAGCCTGTTAGAGAAAAAGAAAAAAAAAAAGAATGTTACTAGAACAAATTAATGTCAATTTATTTTGCAAGTACAAATGAATACAAATAATTATTTTGCATGTTTAACCTAAGAATATGGTAAAATACATAGAATTACCAAATTAAAATAGTATAAACAAGTTTTAGGATTTCAAGTACATATTCCTTTATACATAAACCACGATATTTTTAAAATATAGGTTTTTGATTCACGGATATATAATATGCCACCAATCAAAGGATAGAATTAATGAAGTGATACTGTGAGATCCAGACCATAAGCAACAAAAACATAATAGTTTTTAAATGATAGTTTAAAAAAGGATAAAAGGAAAAATGGAATTTTGCATTTGTTTTTAGTTTGTTTATTCTTCCTTACAGATTGTAGGAAGTGAACTCTTACGAGCTTATAGAGATCTTTCGCAAAGTCTTCGGAGTCAGAATTTTATTCTCTGATTTATGGATCATAAGGAATGCCAACTATGGCTAGGAAAAAAAAAAGGTTGGCCTCACCAATAACCACAGAAAAATCAAGCATCAGTTTCTGTTTTCTTTTAGCTCCTCTAATGACTACTAGGAGCTCTGGTGGTGCAGTGGTTAACTGATACAGCTGCTAACCAAAAGGTTGGCAGTTCAAATCTACCAGTCGCTCCTTGGAAACCCTACAGGGCAGTTCTACTTTGTTCCCTAGGGTCGCTATGGGTCGGAATCAACCTGACGGCAACAGGCTTGTTTTTAGTTTTAATGATTACTAATAAAGCTTATTGGGCTGCAAGTCTGCAAAATACTAAAACGCCCAGTGCTCAGGTGGTGATAAAGGTGGCTGGCAAACATCTCTGGCTGTGAAGTTTATGGAAATGAGGACTGCTGTGGGAACTTGCAGGGTGTTTCCGGCCTCAGTTGTAGAAAACTCAGAGCTCTTTTCCTTCTTCGTGCTGCGCTGTACAATGCCAGAAAATGAGTTATGTGCTCCATTATAATCGGGAAGCTCCTCATTCTGGAAAAAGCTGGGAATGCATAATATTGCTGAAACAATACAACTCTGCTCATTGTCTTTAGCAGATTCAAAGCTAAAACACAATCTTATCTCCTATCTCTACTTTTGGAACATTTCCTGATTAATTGATGCAAAAAAGTACCTGAGCTGCTTTTGATCTCTTCTTTTCCTTCAGAAAACGTAAAGCAAAGTAACGCAATCATCGAATGTATCTTATGCATAAGTATCTGTTTTAACATGAGTTTTAGCCTACATCTTCTCTTGGAACCCTGGTAGTGTAGTGGTTAAGAGCCTGCCTGCTAACTAAAGGGTCAGCTAGTTCAAACCCACCAGTCTCTCCTTGGAAACTTTATGGGGCAGTTCTACTCTGTCCATAGGGTCACTGTGAGTCAGAACCAACTCGAGGGCACATAACAATAATATCAACTACATATCTTCCCTAATCTTAAACAAATAAATGTGTAAGTAGCAATACAGTGGTTAAATAGAGTGGTTAATTAGTAAAATCTTATTAGCCTTTATTTAAAAAGACTGTACATTTCAAAAAGAAATGCTGGCATAAAGTTTGCATATTGTACATCTCAATTTTAGCTTTTTAAGTGAAGATTTAAAAAAAACCTGATCATTTCAATGTCTCATACATAATTTTCTTTTTGGGTCAAAAGTAAGGGATTTTAAGATAAATTTCATAAAATCAAAAGAAAGCTGGAAGTTGTTTGTTTGCCTTAAGGTGTGGCACAATTAATTATGTTTATTAGTTTCCCTTAATATTTAAATGAGTACTTTGCATATTTTACTCCCAGTTTATTTTACCCAAATCCTGCTTCCATGCTTTGTAGGAATATATAAAACTGATAGATAGCCAATAAATAATTTGTTTAGTCAAAAAAACAATTTATTCTACTTTTTAAAAAATAGTTAAGAAAGATACTCATCACATTACTTCATTTTAAAAAGTCCCAAATATGTTACATATACTAGTAGTAAGTATAAGCATTACGTATTAATTCTATGTATACTATATATAATGACCTTTCCCATTGCTGATGTTTCAAAACTATAATTTTTGTTTATCCTTGTCTACTTTCATACCCCGTTGTTATTAATACTGGGTGTTACCATAAAGTTGAAATAATAAGCTAGAATATTAATATTATACTTCTTTCAGTGTCTTTGGTACTAGGATTAATGACATTATGTTAGAATTTGATTACTTGTCATTTTAAAATGATGGTTTAAAGCAGGCCCAGTGTCCTGAAGAATGGTAAACAATACAAAATACCTTGCCTAAATAAAAATATATCAGCCTGACTATTTTGTAAGTTATTCATTGGCCATTCATTCATCCATCAATTCTAACTTATTAATTAAAAATATTTCTTTACTATCTGCTATGTGCTAGGCCAGGTACCAAGGGTATCGATAATGAGCCAAACACAGTCCTTGCTTTCTTTAAAACAATACAAATTAGATTCTAAGTAAAAAAAGGTTCAATAAAGTTTTTAATAAGTTTATTCAGCCAATCAAGAAAACATCTATTGCAGGGATAAAAATATTCAAATGCCTAACATGACAAGGCATATAAAATGTAAAAGGGACACACACACACACACACACACACACACACACACACACACACACACACACACACACACA